TCTCCAGCAGCAGCAGGGCCCACAGCAGTGCGGCAAAGAGCGGCAACGGCAGCAACTCCAACGAGGCGGGGTGTGAGGTGTTGTATTGCGTCCGGTGCCAGGCGGGCAGCACTACGAGCTGTGGTGAATGCGCGCGAAGCTACGAATTGACGACCAACTTCCAGTGTGTGCAGGGGGACGGTGCTGTTCGCGTGTCGCTGACGGCGGGCGGTCACCTGTGGGCTGCGCTGCTTCTCGCCGCTGCGCTGTGGGTGTGTTCCGCGTCGGTCTAATTATTTTCTTTCCCCCGCGAAGAGGACGGCGCAGTGGCACGCTGGTGGCCTCGCACGCGGAAGGCACGACACAGCGCTTTCCCAACAGGACAGACAGTCTGTGTTCGTGGAGGAGGCAGCTCAGTGAAGGTGTGCCGCACAGTATGCCGTTTTAAAAGGCTGTGCACGTGACGGGTGCTCCGTGGTGCAGTGGAACGTGGTAGATTCCAGCTGCCCACCGCTCGCAGCCGTGAGCATTTCTTTTGCCGTTCCTTGTTCTTTCCTTCTTTTGATCTTTTGCTGTTTTCCTCCTCTCCCCTTCTCCCCCTCTTTTTCTTTTGTTTCTTTTTCAAGCGAAGGGATGTGGTCCGCACACACAGTGCTAGCTCTTCGTTGTGGGGGTGCCGTGCGTGGTGTGAGCCGCGCCCGACAGCAGGCAGTTCTTCAAGCGCTACCACTGCTGCACTCTTGGAAAGGCCGGGTGCTGCTTTTGAATGAGCGCGACTGCTGCGAGCGGTGCCAAAGCCCCCCTGCACGCCCGCACGCCGCCACCGCCATCAATTGGCTTTCTTATTTTCTACGTTCCCTGTGATTTCTCTCTTGTGTTTCGAGTGACGCGTGCGTGCATGTGCGCGTGGGAGAGTGCTTTGCCTCCTTGCTCTTTTGCGTGGTTTCCCCGCTACCGAGGCGCTCACGGGATGGATGTGTGCGTCCGTTGCTGGTCTTTGGCGTGTGCCGTGCGGGAGTGGTGTGGTGCACGGATTGCTGCTGTGAAGCGGGATGCGGACGCGAGCGCGTTTTCGTTGCTGAGTGCTGCGTGACGCAAATGCGGAGGGACAGGCAATCATTCTTGTTCCGCGGCTGTACCCGACAACGGCTGCGTTGGTGTCCACCGATACCATCGCGCAACAGAGGGCGGCACAGAACGCGAGCCGTTGTATCAAGTAGCTCTTTCATCTGACATATATATATATAATATATATAGATGTATGTATCTACTTATGTGCAACCTTCTCTAATGCTAAAGCTGGTGAGCTCGTGTGTCTTCGTGATTCTCTTATTTTCTCATCATTTTTCTTATCTTGGTGGATGTTGTTGTGCGCTGCTGCACTATGTTTTTTTGCGGTGCACGTGCCCACGCCAGGGTATCTCGTGCAGTCCTTGCATTGCCATTGTGAGATGCCATTGTGGGTGTTTATTGTAGACTGCTGCACAGGACCCTGCGCTGCGGTGTCTGTTCCTCTCTCGCTCTGCTCGCTGTTTCTCCTGGCAATGTGCAAACGTGTGTGCTCCGTCGCGCTGCCCGGCAGCTGCTCAAATAGAGGCGCGGATCTGCCGGTGTGCGCGCCGCTGCAGCAGATTATTCCCGCAGCTGTCGCACATTACCCCCCGCAGCAGCGCACGCCGACTCGCCACCTCCAACTCTTTTTCCTCTCATTCGCGTTCTTCATTGTTATTTTGATATATTTACTTTCTGAACCAGTCATAATTTCCAAAGCTGAACCGTTTTTGGGGTGCGCATCTCCGGTGCTGTGGCGACAGCAGCAGAGGATGGCTGTCTCACCCCCGCTGTTTTTCAGTTTAACCGAGTAAAGTGTGCAACAGTCTGTTTTTTTCTCTCTTTCTTTTTTCCCGTGCTGACCTGTGACTCCAAGTCCACCGCTCATTGAAATCGGTGTGCCGAAGAGGAGCTACGGCGGGCAGACTGCGTGCCGTGCTGCGTAGAGTGTCTGCTAGTAACGCAGCCCATTTGCTTTTGCTTCTGCCGTTGCTGCGCCGCACACGCCTCAACTGCCGCAGCTGTGCTTCATCTTTGTTTCGCGTGTGTTTCAATACTGAGCCTTACTTCTCCTTTTATTATCATGTCTTTCTTTCTACGCTTCAAGCTTTTTATTCATGCGTGAATGTGTCTTTCCAATTCACTTCATCCTTCGGTAGAAATCCTCATTTCGACATCGCATAGCGAACGACGGCCCCGGCGGTACACGCCGCCGTCTGCGGAGGGCCGGTGGGGTTGACTTAGCAGCGTTTCCTTCGGTCTTTCCCCTAGTAAGACGAAGGCGCTGCGAGGTCTCAGTTTCGGATGACCTTGTTTGTTCATCCGCGCTTTTGAAGCTTTTGTAGGCGCATCTCTGGCAGTTACGAGTTGGAGGTTCTAAGGCCGTTATTATCAACACTGGAGGAGCACAGGGGGACTAACGAGTACAATGGCGATCATTTGGCCATTGTACACCTCATGTTTTTTCTCGCTGTTACACACTGCGTCTACCTCTTTGCGGTGGATCCTTTGTCTTCTCTCTTTCACCCGGTCGTCACCTGTCTTGTGAAGTATGCGAACGAAAGAAATGGACGGGGTCGTGGAGCTTGTCGTTCTGCGGTCGGAAATTGCATTTGGTTTTCACTGGCGCGCGTCGCGTCGGTGGCTTTGGCGCTCGCGCCTCACTTCACACACACACACACACACACACACACACACACACACACGTAGAAACACTCCTCCAGGAAAGCCTAATCTGGAGTGATTCAGGCGTGTCGAGTGTGATCCCTTCGGGTCAGTTGGAATGAATCTACCTTTCTCCCTGCCAATGCATCTACTCTCTCTCCCCCCTTTCTCCCTTTTTACATATTTTTACACATTTCGTGAAGCCTAGCGCTTTCGTTTTGGTCACTTGACAAAGTTTTTTCTTGTTCATACTCCGTCTCACATTCTCCATGTCGGTTTCCAACCTCCCAACGCCGCCGATTTCGACGTCAACTTCCTCGGCCACGTCTGTTGGCGCGACGGCAACGCCAGGGAGTGCAACTCCCGCGGCGACGTCTCCTGCTGCACCTCCATTGGCGGGAGCTCCAGTCACTCGCCCCCCTCCTGCAGCCCCTCTTAGCGAGAGGGCTGCATCCTTTCGTGAAGCGGTGACGCAACTGGAGGAGTTGCGCAACTCGGGTATGCTGGGTGGTGAACAGTACGTCACTTTGGTGGACTCCCTTACCCGCCAGTACCTAAACCCCACCACCCCCACAACTGCTGCTGCAACGACATTTTCCGGTGGCATGGACTCCACACTCTCTTGGGACGTCAGTGTGATGTCGCGGGAGAACTACGTCCGCATGTACCCCTGGGCTCCGGAGTACGTGAAGGCCAAGTTGGGCCTTACTCGTATTGAACAAGAGTACGCAGAG